CAAGGGGAGACAAGGAGGGCTGTGTGTCTGTCCCCCAGCTGGTGAATGAGCAGGGGGTGCATATAAAGGGTCAGATAAGCCCCCACGGTGGCTCACATCACCCAGGGCTGTGGCCCCTCCTGCAGTCCCCACTTTTGACCCCCTCCCAGGGAGGAATCCGGCAGCAGCTCTCGCCCCTGGTGCCAGCTGAAGGAGACGCCTATTTCGCCCTCAAAACTGAGATCCGAGCAGAATAGTTTTGACAAATAGGGACAAGATAAAAATGAGGATGAGCAGGGTGGGGGGGGGGGGGGGGGGGGGAGGGCCCCCCCCTTTTTTTTTGGGATGAAGGCACCCAACCCTATCCCTCCTCTTGCCCTGGTTCCTGGGTGGAGCAGGGAGGAACTTCACCTGCTGCAGCGTTTTGGGGAGCTCACCCCTTCCCCTGGGGCATGAGATGCCTCCTGCCGGGCTGGGCGGGTGGACGAAATCCATGGGGAATCCCGCTGAGCCCAGGGCAGAGCAAAGCATTCCCTCCTTGCGGCCGTTCCCAGCAGGTCATCCACCTTTCTAGGGATGGGAAAGAAAGGAAGCGGGGAGGGGGGGGCCTCTGCATATTTCAGCAGCGCAAAGTGACGCCAGCAGGAGAGCTGGCCCTTCCGAGTTCAACCCCCTCCCAAGACAGGAATAAACAGATGTCCTGCCCTATGGGGCACGCAAAGATCCCGATTCAGAGCTTGAAATTCAAGGCGAGATGAACAGCTTCAGAAGAATAACCTGACTCACCGGAGTGTGGCAATCCCTTGTCGTTGTTTGCCCAACGCTATTTACCCTTTTACTACCAGGACAAGCGCAAGGAACCTGGGGAACCTGAATAAATCCGCCCTCCCGCCTCCAGCTCCCCCCGCTGAGGACAGGGCAGAGGAGCCGCCCAGTTAATCTCTGCACAAGAGGACAGTCCCAGACTAAACCCGGGCTCAGGACGAGGGCTGCTCTGTGCACGCGCCCGAAGCGGCTGCCGTGCTGCTCCAACGGAACAGATCCTGGGGAGCCAGGGGAAATGTAATGTCAGGCAGAGGAGGTGACCCAAGAGGCCAGCTCGCTCTCGACCGAGACAGCGAGAGCCGCGCTCCTGTCCCCTCCTGGCACAGCCGCGGTCCCCCCCCGACATCCAGCCGAAGCCCCCGGCGTCCCCACCAGTGAGGTCGCTCCCTAACCTGCAGAATATACCTTTAGCTCATGTTTTTTCCGCCTGTGTAAGGGGGGGGGATCTGCTGCTACTCCAGCCAGGAAAACAGCCGGCGGCCAGAGCCACGACCCGCAGGGATGAGAAGCTGTAGCTGATGTGGGACGATGGGCCGGGAGGAGCTCTGTCCCGGGTCCAGAGGGGACTGCAGAATGGAAAACATGCAAAACAAAGCGTTTAGGAAGGCAGGCTTCATGCTTTCCTCCCCTCCCACCCTGCCCCAAAACCTGCTAATTGCCAGATGCTGTTGTTAAGTGGGATCGGCAGGAAGGACAACGTGGGAAGTGATGGGACCACTCAAGAAGCTCAACAGATGCCCTCGAGGCAACAAAGGGACTCCAGCAGAAGCCACCAGGACCAAGGAACCGCTGCCAAAGAGCTAGGAACAACACATTATTTGGAAAATATGGCAGATGTGCCGAAATTTTCATGCCAATCGTGATGTGGCGAAACACTGGCCGGATTTGCGCTAACCTAACGCGCGGTACCGCACAAAGATGATACAAACCAACATGATGCCAGTGCAAGTTTCATGAAAGTTTTTATTCAACAAGTATTTCATTATGATTCTGCCAAGATGATCAAATGAACAGCAAGGCATAAAAAACATGAAATAGTTAAGAGATTTTATTCTAATAGCTTTAATTACAGTGCTTGTTTGTCGAAATGAAAACTGAAAACAAGTATACAAAACAGTTGCATTACTAATCGTGTATTGAAAGCAATAAAGGTTTCCACAACACTAAATAAACCAGTTCTGATAGTTCCTCAGGTTAAAGTTTAACAGCTCCAGCTTCTTCAGTGTTTATCAAAATACAAAAGAAAAGTAAAGAGGTCTTTTTCTGATGGCAAATCTGAACCTTGCAGTATGAGGGATGCCAAGGGTTTTCACACATATACAGATATGGGATTGTTCCAAAATGGGATTGAATACTTCTAGAGTGGAATGACTCTCCAAACTCTCATGCTTTATTTTATTTATTTATTTTTTTTTCCCTAGACGCTATACATAGATGTTTGGTGGTGTTTTTTTTTTTTTTTCATGGCAATTCTAACGTTAAGTACAGTGCTTTCCGCCTATAGAGCTTAGGACTAGTACAGGCTGTGCTTTCTGTGGAAAGGTTTGCCTTCTGGAGTGGTTTACACACGAGAAAAGTACAAAACACTTTTGACAAGTACGACAGGCTAAAAATGTGACTTCTGGCAATTATTCAAGTTCAATGGAAGCGGTAAGTCTCACCTGAACCAAAAGTCAGGAGTTTAGCATGAGTCTGCAAGCTCACCTAAACCAGGTCCGACAAATCTTTTAACGAATATGAACAAATTCGAGCACATACTATGAGCTACAGAAAGAGCCAGAGATCTATTAGTTATGATCTGTTCTTTAACCGGATGAAGCTAATTGGGTGTCGATCGTGGCTTCACCATTTCAAAAGAATCAAAAAAGTCACCACATTAGAGCTGGAACAGCAGAAGCGATGTCAAACGTTTGTAATGTTGAAGTGTTTTTACTTTTCCTTGACTATTTTAAAAAAATACAGAATTCAGGTTAAAAACCAACCACCAAAATGGATCTCACAGATCTCACAACCCAACCGAGATAGTATTCAGCTCTACTGCACAAGGACCACTGGTAACCCTTATGTTAACCCACTGAAATCCCTTCCGAGTACTAAACAGTGAGTTGATTCTTTACAATAAAAAAAGCTGAGTAATATTGCATAGGAGTACCAGAAACTGCCTCATTGGAAACAAAAACTATTTACATTAAATAAGAAACCTAACTGTTTTCAGGCTTGTATTTGCCACATTTACAGCATGATGCAATATATACTGTGACAAAAGAAATGAAAACAGCTTCCGGCACTCAATACCACAAAGTAGCACAGTTTGCCACATTAGAGTAAAGCGAAGGGCGAATAGGAGGAAATAAGAGGGAGGGGTGGAAAAAGAGGGAAGAGGAAGGTTTATGGTTTCATTTCTGGTTTCGGAGCTGATTGGACAACCAGTCCAGTCCTTCATAGAGACCGTCTCCGCTAGTGGCACAGGTTGCCTGGATATACCAGTTCCTGTGACGAAGAGAATGCAGTCCAAGTTTGTCTGTGATTTCTGCTGCATTCATCGCGTTCGGCAGGTCCTGGGGGAAGGAAGAAGAGTCATTTTCTCCCCTACTCGCCGAGAAGAAATGCCCGCCTCCCTCAACCGGTTTTGACCATCAGCTTTAAAGCCATTAAGAGAAAGTTAAGAGCTCTCGGAGCTTCTCTTTCAGGCAAACTCAGTGGATTACTTCTATATTCGAGCTATTTCCCCTACGCCGACAAAAGTCTCAAAGGTTTAACACCACAATCAAAAGCACATTATTATGGAATATTTCTCTTCAGAAAACAGAAGTGAGACAGCTGACGTTTGGATCAAGTCCCTAAGTCTCCTCAAGTGTTGACCCAAACCCACTTACAACTCAAGGCCCATTTCATTCACTTTCCACTCAGAAAACTGCAACTTTTTTTTTTCTGCAACTGCAGTTACGATTTTAGATGCAAGGCCCATTTCATTCACTTTCCACTCAGAAAATGTTTTCTGCAACTGCAGTTACGATTTTAGATCAACTTTTATCATAAAGTCATACTCAGCTTAGAACTGCGTCTGTTTATAGTCCACCTTTCCTGCTGCTAGACAAGACTCACAGCTTATTTACCCTTCACAACCGAGCCTGTGCAATCGGTGAAGCAGGATGCTATTCCTTCTGTAAGTTTACTAGCGATGTTTAAGACCCTTGACACTTGGGTTTAAGCTCCCGAGACCTTCATAAGCAGTAAAAGGCACAACTCTCAGCTCACTTTGTGACTTGGAAGAGTACAGCTCACAGATCAACACAAGTATGTTAAAAGTCAGCCCAGCACTTCCACCACCAGCAGTGGTGCCCTCAAACACCCAAACTGAAGATTTCGGGGAGGTTCCAGCTTTCTGGCCTTCCGCTCTGCTTGGAGGAAGTTTGGGCAGGTGCTGTACTTGAGCCAAGCCGACCTTAAAAATCAAACCAGTAAAATTCTTTCCTAAAACTGAACACACAAGCATTTCTATTAGCCAAGACTGTTTGGAATAGAAGGGTGTTCCCTTCAGAGAACAGGGTAATTTAACCTATGGGTTTGCTGCCTTCAACAAAACAGAACGGACTGAGAGCTTAGCGATTCTTAGGCTGCAAACACAAACGTCAAAAGTTCAAGATCCAGCACTCGCAAGCATGTTGTACGTTTTCAAGAGTTCTTACAGAAAGACACCTTTCCTGGGCATACCTGTTTGTTAGCAAACACTAATAGAACAGCATCTCTAAGCTCATCTTCTGCCAACATTCTCATAAGCTCTTCTCTGGCCTCGTTCACTCGTTCTCTGTCATTACTGTCAACCACAAAAATCAGACCTAGAAATAAGCAAACAATCAGAATAAGCATACGCCAGAAGTTATTTACAAATGAGGAAAACTTCTGGAGGTCAGAACTAAGCTTTGAAGAAAAAAAATAATGCAAAACAATTAAGTATATATCAGACAAAATACAGTTTTCTTATTACTGTAAGCTTATGTCTGAGAGAAAGCCTGTTCTTGCTGAGAGCTGGTGAAAGCAAGTGTGAGTTTGCATTTGCATTTCTGGAACTCGTGTGCTTCATCTACATAACCACTCAGTATTTTCCAGTGAGTAGCAACTCTTGAAATCCTGTGACAGGTCTCAAATGCGTGCATATTACAAAGGCGCAGCAGTAAAAGAGGCGAGAAACTCAGTTTGTGGGGCTGTCAGAGCTCGTAGTAAAACCTCTGCTTTGAAGGCAGAGCGCTGTGACGCTTACAGAAGAAAAGCAAAATTCTGAACGCGCTCTGAGTCAGAGGGACAAGGAAGACTGGTTTCCAGATTTCTTCCCGTCCCTCTTTGAACCTGCACTAGCTTAACAGAAGAGCCAGAGCAGCACACAAACACACCCTTTTATAATAATAAATATCCTTCACCACCCCCAAGAAACTCACAAGATTATCATAGTAAGGACACTGGAAAAAACCAAACCAACCCACCACTTTTTAGGTTCTGGAAGCCTGAGATTTAAGCCTTCAGACTCACCTTGTGTGTTCTGGAAATAATGGCGCCAGAGTGGTCTGATCTTATCCTGACCGCCTACATCCCAGACTGTGAAGCTAATGTTCTTGTACTCTACTGTTTCCACATTGAAACCTAAAATAGAAATTGTGGCAGAAAAATCTCAGTTAAACACAGTTGGCCCTGGACCTATTGTATTTACCAAGTCACACTCAGAATGTCATCACAAAAAACGTTACCTTAAAATTTAAATCTACTTTAAATAAGCAGAATCCTACACTGAAGCCCTCAAAGCAGACAAACATGGGTTCTCTGGAACTCCTGCTCCTACCACCACCCCCCGCTGCGATCAAAGTAACGAACAAAAGCTGCAATTGCTACCTGAGCAGCTACAAAATGCAGAGCAAACTATGTTGCATAAAAAAAAAAACCCCAAAACCCTGGGCTTTAAGGACTGCAAGTAAGTTATGTCTCCGATCACACTGTTCTTGCAGTCACCATCACCCTCAGTTTCTCAGTCTAAACTACTTGATGCCACAACACGATTAGGAGGGCTGCCTGCCCTTCTGTGGCCCATAAAGGGTTGTTCCACAAACGACTAAAGAGAGTGAATGGAGTGAAAAAGAGTCATGTAATCTCCTCCCATGTCGGAAAATTATTAAATCAATAGACTGGTAGCTGAGATAAGACACTGCTGCAAACAATAAGACCCAAATCTCAAAGCAAGCAGTTATATAAATTTAAAAATCTTACCTATAGTAGGAATAGTAGTTACTATTTCACCGAGTTTAAGTTTGTACAAAATAGTAGTCTTTCCTGCAGCATCCAGGCCAACCATTAGAATACGCATTTCTTTTTTGCCAAAAAGGCCTTTGAAGAGGTTAGCGAAAATATTTCCCATGCTTGAGATATGTTCTCACTGGCCAGTGAAGTCTAGAGGAAAAAGATCACAGTATCGCTTGTGAGTTACCATGTTCTGAGCAGGGCATAATCAACGACCAAAAAAGTATCAGATAAAATGAATTCTTTAGATACCCCCAGCCAACACTGTACATTATTCTTCCTGATACTGAAGCAATACAATGATGAACAGATACGTCAAAACTTACTCCTTATAAAAAGACATTGCTCCAAGTGCTTTATATCTTTCAAATATTTTTTCAGAGATTTTAGCATTAAATATTGTCCACAAACTTTAGTTGGCAAAACCGTGGTTTGCTTTCAACACAACTGACCACTTCAGGTACTTTGTCCCCCACTGTTACAGCATCATTTATCTGCAGCCTAAAGTGTCAACGTAAACCACACTTCCTCTAATTGACATGCAGCTAAAAAAAAAAAAGTTTTAAATGTGTGCTCATCTCTATGCTGCTTGGCGCACCAATAGCTGGCCCATCTTTTGAAGGGAAACTCGGAATACAGCTTGGATTCTCTGCTACTCAAAACAGTTTCCTTCCTCTCAAACCCAAAGGAAATGGCCTGCGAATACAACATGCACACAAAGCAGTAGTTTACCTTCATCAACACTGGAGACCTTCTCCAGGAAGCAAATCCACATTTACTAAAACGTAACTACTGAAAATTAATAGCCACATTAAAAGAGGCAGGCTTAAAAATAAATGCTTCTTCCTTCACGGCAAACGCTTCTGCTTGGACGCTCAGCAGCGATTAACATCACGGGGAGGTTCCTGTTGGGGAACTGGAGAAACTGCCTCTCCACTCCAGCCCTTGGGACGGGATCCACCCCAGCACAATTTGTCCACTTCTTCCCTTCTTCCACAATTTCACACCCCCCCCTTCCCAAACTTATGACGACACAGTTTACAGCAAGTTTGAACTCACCCAGAGCGCTGCTATTCTGCTCACATAAAACATGAAAAAAGCAGCCTGAAAGCCTCACGGTGGGGTGTAGATGAGGATGAAAGCTTTGCAGTGGGGTGTAGATGAGGATGTTACACGGCGATAGCTATGATTCACACCTCTACTGCTGGTTTGTCTAGAGCTCTCAGATGTCAGTATGAAAAAGCCCAAGCCCAACTGAAAATACAAGCTTAAGACAGTAGGAACACCTACAGCCAAGACGTGTAACGTTCAAAGGATGGGTTTCCTCTAAACTGAGTCACACAATTTAAAGCGCAGTATGAACTTTAAATAGCTTCTCAAAGACGTTCTGTGTTTCACGACGAAGCGGTGCGCTTGAAGCAAAATTCTCACTGGAAATTGTCTCAAATAGTTATTCTGTAAAGTCTATTAAAACGAGCTTTGAACTGAAAAGCACGCCAGAGAACAAAGCTCTTGTCCTGCTCTGTTTAGCTCTACGCTAGGGATGTATGAAGTCTGGCTTCCTCGCTCAGCACTGCCAAAAGTCTAAGCAGTTCTGCTCTTCTGGGGAAGCTTTGCTGGTTACAATTTTTAACCCAAAAGTTAAGCACTGTAACATTAACTAAGTCACGTGTCTGAGCACAAGCAGCTCCACGGCAAAGTTCAGAGTCCACTCCAGAGTTCCTGAATGGCATCCATCCATCACCACTTCAACTCGCTGAGGTAACTCCAGTCAAAGATTCGTTTATTTTATAGGATTGAAGCTCAATGGAATCGAAACTTTAAAACTGAGCTCCTCTGTAAGCCAGACAGGGCAGCCTGGGGATTAAAACCAAATGGAAAGTTTAAAAGTCCTATTATTCCACCATTCCCTTCATATTTCTGAAGCACAACCACGAATATTCAACTCCCACTTGAATATACGAAAGCTGTATAAACAGGAAAGTTAATTAGGAAGTAGAGAAAACAGTTTTGCTAGTCCCTATTTATCCAAATCACTCACACAGCAGGAAATCTCATTCCCCGGCCCACAACAGCAGCTCTTACTGGGCTGGAGGGGAGGGAGGCCATAAAGCTTTCCTTTGTCTGCCCGCTCACACTACCTCTATCTTCTAATTCATCTGCAAAGCAATGGTCAGGGTTGAACAGTAACTTTTTACCAGAGCTCTCGCAACCCTCCGAAACGAGTGTAAGAACTTTTGTAGCAAGAGAACCTTACAAGCCCTGCAGAAGAACGCACTCCTTTTGTTTCCAAACGGTTAAAAGCATAATAGGTTATTAAATGCTTGGATCAACAGCAATAATCAGGTAACGGCAGCAAAATCTTAGCGTTTGCATCCACGACATCTCTCCACACCCTGGAGAAGTTAAGAGTCTGCTGAACAAGCTGCTTGCGCTTGGCACTAACAGTAGTGGATCCCGTTAGATCCTTGTTTTCCTGGCAGCAATTTCCAGATCAAGTCTGCCCTCCACCACTGAAGCTGCTTTTATACCACCCATCCTCCCTATTTTTTACTTTTTGTGAAGAACAAGAAGAGGCATTTAAGCACTTGCTTTCCAGTTCCCTCTTGTTCTCGTCCACATTCCTACTTTCCAAACCACTTCTGTAATTTTGTTGGTACTTCAGGATAGGTAACACTATCAGAGAGTCAGATTTATTTTTAAGGGCAGTGATTTTAAAGGCAGATTTATTTTTAAGGGCAGTGATTTTAAAGGCAGATTTATTTTTAAGGGCAGTGAAGTGTAGTTTACAGCCCACCCCTGCAAGACAAGCGTTTAGATGCTGACTACCAGAATCATTGCCCTCTATAAGAAAAATACCAGGAAAAACCCATTTGCAGAACTCCCACAAACTAATCTGGGTCCCACCAGCAACTTGTTGGATGCTGCTGGGGCAAAAGAGAAGGTCTCTGTCTCCACCATCGGCAGGACCATCCTCCGACCAGCAGCTAGAATCATGTTCATCTTTTGCCACTGAAAAAGAAATCATACTCCCATGGTTTTGCACATTACACTCCTCTCCCTACGCTGTCCCTGCCAGTATTTCATTGCTTTCTATTATCTAAGCAAAGGCACCTCGAGCTCCTTCCTCAGCATCAATAAAATCCTCAACCAAATCATCATCACAGCTGTGACCAGTCATCAGGTCTCTGCTTTTTAGACCATTCGTGCCGTCAAACAGCATAGACACTACCGCAGCAGAAACCGCCACGACAGTTTAGAGCTGCTTCCCATTAATACAACTCAGCTGAGGGATCATGCGATTACTTCCACTGTACTTCAGAGCTGAATCTGCTTACTTTAATTCTCATTTCAGTCCGTTAGTTGAGAACTAACATACACAGTCTGAAAATATGAGGAAATTTAAGACCCTTTTAGGTTATCCAAGCAATTTGGTCACTTTTCAGGCATCTTCAACATTCGCAATCTATATTAAGACTTGCCAATATATTGCCTATATTCTACACCGAAGCTTAACTTTCTCTTTTCCTCAACCCAAATGTTGTCAAAGTAACACGCTTCTAAAATGATCAGTGTAGCAAAGTTCAATAAAATGCCTGAAAACATACAAGATTATGGCTTGTGAGCTGCCTGTAGTCCTTCAGCACATCTTCAAAAGCGCTATCTATCAGGCTAAGCAGCGAGATTTGTGTATGAAAGGGAACAATTGGAATAAACAGCACAGACTATTTTTGCAGAGCGTAGGCGCACCTTCAGCCTTCAGCTTCCAGAACTGGAAGCTCACCACCCCTCAGCAAACCCACATCACCCCAAAACCGAACTGTCTGTATGGCTCTGGTTTCTCCCTGCCCATCGAAGCCCTGAAGCACACCTTAACTCGGTCTACTCCACCTCTAGATCCTCACACCAGTAAAAACCTGTCAGGCAGGTTCAGGTAAGATCTAATGTGCCATTGGTAAACAGCGAGAAAGACATTCGCTGGGGAAGGCTGCAGTTTTGTTTCAGGAAACAAGGTATTTTCAGCAGCCTGTTTTCTAATAAGCGATACATTTAGATAAGCACTTAGGAGAACAGGCTGCCTTTTTCAGAAAGGCTCGGTGTAATGAGTTAAAAATGAATGAGTGCCTGCAACAGCAGGCGGCCTGGTGCCTGTTAAAGTGATAGGGCCCATGAGTAAGAACTAGAATTTGCTTTTATTAATTGTAGGTGGTTAGAATAAGAGCTCTGAGGAATATCTCAAGGCCAAAGTCCATTCAACGCTTCATCTTCTGCAGCATTTTATATTTAATTGTACGTTAATGCATTTTAATGTCATTTCATTCAGGCTGCTTAACTTGAGAAGTCAAATATGCTTTTTGACCTCCAAACTTCTTGGATGAGCTGTTTAGTTAACAAGCCATCCCACGGAAGTACATATACTACTATATATTACTATACTATAAGTACTATATACCCACAGAAGGGTATATAGTACATCAAAGGTATAGCTACAGTTTGAAATCTCTGCGTAACCTTAATTTTGCACCTCTGGAAAAGTTCTTTTTGACCACAGAGAGATTAAACTTCGCTGAGCTGGGAATTGTGGCAAATGCCATGGTTTCATTCAGGTTTATACCATTTCATGGAATCACAGAATCGTTTAGGTTGGAAAAGACCTTTAAGATCATCAAGCCCAACCGTTCCCCCAACCCTGCCATCCCACCCCCAAACCCTGGCCCTAAGCACCTCATCTGCCCAGCTTTTAAATCCCTCCAGGGATGGGGACTCGACCCCTTCCCTGGGCAGCCCCTTCCAGTGCTTGACAACCCTTTTAGGGAAGAAATTTTTCCTAATGTCTAACCTAAACCTGCCCTGACGCAACTTCAGACCTTTTCCCCTCGTCCTATCGCCCATTTCTTTAATCATATCATAGCAGACAAAAACCAGAAGCTAAGATAGGGGATGCTATATGCCGCATTTAGTCAAATTATGCCTGCAGTATAGAAATAAATTTATTTCACTTCTACGTACCAGCACTTACCACACAAGGCTCCCACAGTGAAAAAATAACACTCAAAACTTCATAGCATATACCAAACTTGCTGGGCACATTCATTTTGGCAATCTGTTCTCTGTAGCCGAAAAATACCAGCCGCGATGGAGATCAGTCA